CTGTTACTTTATTAGAAATTCACATAAATAAAGATATTTTTAAAATGTCAATTATGAAGGACACATAGAGGGTGTAAGTTATGAATTAAAACATTGGCATTAAAATAATTGTCTACAAGTCACTAATCACAATCATATTACATATATAATTATTTATTATTGTGCGTCTTTGCTGTAATTTAATAAATAATTTAATATAGTTATGGGCTGAAAACTGAAATTATGAGTAACTTCTGCTTTCAGAAAGATTACACCTTTTATGAAAACCTTTTAATTATTCTTTTATATATTCCAAGTTTTTTACATAAAAATATTTGCGTTTAGTATATATTTATAAATTTGATACATAATCATGAATTGAAAGTAAATATTTACCTTAAGATCGATGTTCTGTAAATATATATTGAAATGTAAGTGATGAAAAACATATCAAGTTTGTTTTCTAGTTTGTTGGGAAATTTACTAATACTTGCATATTTTATACACACACACACATACACACACACACATATATATATATATATATATATATATATATCCATTATATTGATGATCGTTCGTATTGAATAGTATATTAAAAATGTTTGCGTGGATATAGTTCTCTTATCCGTGTGTTACAATTCATTGTTTGCTCGCGAAACCAGCACCATCTACTATTGACAAAGGTGAAAGGGATAAGTTTGCAGAAAATGATAAAAAGAAGTATACTGCAGACAATCGTATAATATACCGGTTATGGGAAAATGTGTGAAAACGCACAAAGGTACCTACGAAACGTAGCGAATGTACATCAGTGAATATGATATAAGTTTAATAGTCGTAGAGCTGTGAGGACAGTAGTTTTAGTATATACTCCTTCAAGTTTGAAAAAAAAAACTGTTTACTTTTGATCTATTCTACAATGTTATAAAAATGTTTGTCACAATATCCAATCTTCCCTAATGTCTGTGAAATGTGATCCAAAAAATCTGCCAGCTATTGGCCTACATCTAAATGGTCTATATTCAAATGCTTCTATACGTTATTTTGAAAATTTTACCATCTACTAAAAAGAGTATTTGCTTCCTGATTAATATATTCGTAGCACTATAGAATCTTCTCATTTGTCTTAAAAACCTGTTCAAAAAATATGTCAACTTTTGATCTACATCTAAATGCTTTCATACGATGTTCCAGAAATTTTACAATCTTATGAAATATATTTGTAGTACTATACAATCTTGCCATATTATCTTAGAAAGGTATTTCAAAAAAATCTGCCAGGTATTGGTCTATATCCAAATCATTGTTTGAAAATACCACCTTTTACTGAGAAGAGTATTTGTAGCTTCATAAAAATATTCGTAGCACTGTCGAATTTTGTGTCTTTGAAACGTGTTCAAAAAAATCTGCCAGCTTTTGGTCTATATCTAAATGCTTCTATACGTTGTTTTGAAATTTTTACCACATCTACCGAGAAGAGTATTTGTAGCCTCATAGAAATATTCGTAGCACTATCTAATCTTCTCATACTGTCTTAGAAACCTATTCCACAAAATATACCAGATTTTGGTCTACATCTAAATGCTTCCATACGATGTTCCAAAAATTCACAATCTTATGAAATATATTTACAGTACTATCCAATCTTGTCATATTTTTTTTTTGGTTTATTTTTTATAGCAAACTATACACAGTACATTCAGCTACATATTATTACAGGTATATATTATTTGACAGCGTGAGAAGGATCGCTATCCTGCGATAGAATCTTCTAAGATATTATGCGATATGTTGTAGTAAATCATTGCAGATTCTTTTTTTGAGACGCTTTGGCGGTTGAGGGCTTGAGCAGGTTATACGCTAAATGGTTTGGATGACGACTTAGACGAGCTTTGTATCTACAGCAGTAATGACTAATTTCTTCTTCTTGGTTGGAATTCTCAGATCTTGATGTATCAACCAATAGGGAACATATTTTGGAGCGTTCACGATTTCTTTCAAAATTTTATTTTGGAACCTTTGTAGAATAGTTATGTTCGATTTACTGGCCGCACCCCATAGTTGTAGGCCGTAGGACCATATTGGTTTAATAATTGTCTTGTATATTAGGAGTCAATTATCTTGCCATATTGTCTTAGAAATGTGTTCCAAAATAACATGCCAGCTATCGGTCTATATCCAAATGCTTCTGAAAATTCCGTCATATACTAAGAAAACTATTTGTAGCCTCATAAACATATTCGAAGCACTGTCGAATTTTGTGTCTTAGAAACGTGTTCCGAAAAAATTTGCCAGCTTTTGGTCTATATTCCCTGTGTCGTGCACACGGTCGGACTATTCGCCTATCCGCCTCTATTCAAACACCATTCATAGTCAAATATTATAGCGTTCGGGGTAAGCGAAGCACACGAGTCACCGAGCGCAACACATCGATTCTCCGCGCCAGCGACGCCAAGGATATAAAATAGGATTTAGCTACAAATAAATATGTGTTATTCGCGGGATATACGTTGCAGTTCGAGATCACGCGATGGATTATGTGCCGCTTTGCGGGTTCGACAGTGATCTCTTTTTGCCACCGGCGAAAATTCCAGTAATCGCCTAGTTGATCCCCGAGTCATTATGCAATGCCGGAGTGCATTTTTAGATCTTTCAGGTTTATTCGGTTTTAATCCGGAATACCGTCATTGTTCAACAACTTTTTGGTTCAAGTTCAGCTCATAGATAAAAAGATTTTTAGTAAACGATATTAATAGAGTTTCTGTTATTGCTATTTTATATAGTATTTAACCACATACATTACTTTTAAATTGAGTTTTATATACCTAGTTTTAATTTTCACATTTGAGCAGCCTGTAGTCAAGCAGTAGTGACAACGAATTTTACTTGGAAGTATAGATAGCAATATATGTATTTGCAAGTGAAAAGTGCCCTGATCCGGCATTGCTGCTTCAACAAAAATGCTCCCTGTGACAGAAATTGTCATAATAAAATTTATCGCACAGAGATGAGACAACGGTTTCTGTTGCCATGTTGCTGTAAAACTGAAGAAGTATTAATTCCAATCAGTAGAACAGCTTTTAGGACTTTTCAGTTCGGATTGCTGTACAAAATATCGAAAAAAATCACATGCTTTTTATATCCTAAAAAATTAATATTCAGCAACTTATTAGCCTTCTGAAGTCTCGGAGATGAATAAAATCATTACAACGATCTTATAAGGCCGGTTTTGATCGCTGTTCAATTAAAAGTCCAAAATAATCTATTGCATTATTTGAATTAAGTGCTAAATGTATTCCAGTAAATAAATCTAGGCCATTTTAAAATAATGTTTTAATACACAGACTATTATGGCCTGTTGTTTTGTGACTTTTCGAAATCACATAACTCATTAACACCAAAAAAAAAATTATTTAAACAGTTTTTTTTTGTTTTTTTTTTTTTGTATATAAAGGCTTAAGAACATTCATTTTTTATTACCGTATTTTTTATGTAAAACATAAATTCGGCTCATAGAGAGTTATTAAGGATTCGCGTTGATTAGATTTGCACGACAATCTGTCAAGCCGTTATTATTTATTTAATTCTAATATTTTCACATACTTGTACCTATTTTTTTATTGTATATATATTATATATATATATATATATATAATGAAATTATAAAATAATAGTGATTAACATTTTTTTTTGTTACAGGTGAGTGTTTCTATCATTTCTATTGATGGATTATGAAAAATTGGACAATTGTACTCGCATGAACTAGGTTTGATTTATATATTTTTTTAAGTGATTCCCTTTTGTTATATAACTTTTTTTATAACTTTCAAATCAATAATTGCATTTATTGCAAAATTTATTGACCTACAAGCATTTCATTAACCAGCCGACTGTGATTGACAAATACTACTCATGAAGAAGTGGCAGAGTATACTCGCCATTCGTATAAATCAGTAACCATTGAAACTGCAATTTTTTTTTAAAAAAAACTTTCTCAATTTCCTAGATATTCAGAATATTTGATACTATGCCGGTGCAAAATAAAAAGTTCTAAGTTGCACTTTACTTCAAAATATCATTTTTCTTCGATTCGGATAATACAAAACTGTGCGATTGGTCCAGACGAACCGGATAATTAATGAGTGAATATTTGGACCATAAACAGATTGACACGGACATTTTTCGATAAAATGGATATTACATGATTAGACCTTGAAACTTGAAACCATATAGCTATAAAATTAGACTATACATTTGTTTGCATTAGCATACTTACTCTGTTTTACTGTGTCGTTTATTATTTTTATCTTTATATCAGAAATTATTGAAGTTTTATTTGGAAGGGTTAGTTTTGTTTGGAAATATCACTGCTGCATGATATCAGGTTGCACTGAGTATTATAACTTCATACTATCAAGTTTTGTTCTATATGCGTATTCATTTATGTATACCCACAATATTATAATCATGGCTGTGGTATATCAAAATTTGTCATATTACTATTAGATTTTGTGGTGAATGATAATATTGCTTTGCTATCAGAATGATATAAATTGAGACTTTGATGTGAATCTTGTCGAAAAGTGGAATCATATACAATTATACAATAAAAGAGGAACAAAGTAAGAAATAAACCTTGAATGAAAATGATTTCCAGCTGAGTTTTTTTAACGGTTTTACAAGTATAATTTTTTTGGCAAGTTAAGGGAGATCCCTCTGCGCGGTTACCAATTGTTTTCATCATAGTATTAGATTTTGTTGTGGATGACGTCGCCTTACTTCCAGGATGATATAAATTGACACTTTGATGTAAACCTAGCCCAAAAGTAAAATCATATACAATTATACAATAAAAGAGGAGCGAAGTAAGAAATAAACCTTGAATGTGAATGGTTTCCAGCTGAGTTTTTCTAACGCTTTTCTAAGTATAATTTTTTGGTGAGTTGAATGGGATTCCTGAGCGCGGTTACGCGTAATTGGTTTCGCCAGGACAGCGTCTGCATTAAAATTCCGACATTATGCATAATTCCTCCGATCTCTTCGACCGACTTCTGCTTAGCTTAGCACGAGCCAGGAGAGGTGCATCGATTGCTTGCCATTCGCACTTGAGAATTTCATGGAAATTTAGATCGCGTCATTTCACAGCGTATGAATCTGAAAAAGGAGAATCGACTTTCAATCTGCCTCATTAATATGTTATCGAACTTGGCATAAACATCCATGGGTTTAACAAGACACATTGAAAATCATTAGGAAAGGAGAATTTTGGTTAATGTGATATTTGATGATCTTGCACAGCCTACATTAGAACTGCTAAGTCAATATAACTTCTAAAAACTACATTAACAATAATCACAACTCAGTATTAGCGTATTGTGGCGACATTTTAACCCATTCCACTCGGATTCCGCCGATCTGGCGGCAAAATTCATATAAATCTCGGAATTAGCGAGTGGAAAGGGTTAATAACTTATGCTCCAGAACGCAACCTAACCTTGGGCCTTTCTCTTTTGAATGCCCTTATTATTAGAATAACTCTTATATACTTTAAAATGAGGCAAAGCCTAGTAAGGACTGTTTTTACTTGTGAATATATTGTTGTCAGTAGTTTCTAGTGAAAACCGATGTCACTTCTGCTTGATATCAAGCTGTTCGAGATTAATACTTTCAAAGGATAGGCAGCTCTATAGAAATAAGCTATTTCAATTCTCACTTTTTAATTATTTTGTCTGTATGTAGTTGTACTTGTTTAAGGTTGAATTTGTACTTGGTTTAGGTTAAATTTGGACGTGGTTAAGGTTACCAAAGACTAATTATTTTCGAGACGATTAGTTTTGTAAATATTGATTTATATCAGAGAAATCTTCAAAAACATACTTACATATACAGGGCGTCCCAGAACTCAACATCAAGCCCAACCGGCCCAATAGTATTGATCGTTGCTAACATGAAACAAATTAGAACAAAATTATTTCAAGTAGCTCGACAAAATATGAGCTTTTAAGTGCAACTTAAGGCTTTAGTGCAACTGTGTCTTTTTTCAGTTATTGTAGTTATTATATTATTAATGTTTTTCATTTAAACTTTGGATTTGTAACTGCACATAGCATTTGTAGGTCCACAGACAAAAATTAATTATTTTTTTGTTCCAGTTTTGTAGAATTGAGACTTTTTGTTTAACTATGAAGTTAAAAATTTTCAAAATTAATCTACTTTGAGAGCCCCTTCTTAAAAAAATGTACTGAAGTGTGTTGGTAAGTTTCATCAAAAACTGGTGTATTTAATCAGAATTGTATAATGGTAAATAGTTTATAGTTTCATAAAAAATCATGTGAGTATAATTAATAAAAATTAACTACCATACCCGAAACATGGTCACAGTTTCAACAAAGCTCTAGGTTGCGTTTAAAAGCTCATAATTTTCGAACTATGGAATAACTTTTTTTCTAATTTTTTTTCACGGCAGTTACGATGAATACTATAATCCCGTAGAATTCTAGAACATTCTGTATACATGATCTGTATTTATACGAATAAATACATTCTTGCGTGCATGTAATAATGCATATATACATTTTTATAAATAGATATATTTATACTTGCATATATATGTTCATACTTTTTCGTACACTCATTGGTATATACATCTTTGCGTAAGATATTCGTTTATATATATATATATATATATATATACATGCAAATATGCACATGGAATTCATATACCTAAGTGATGCAAATTTTGTTCGAAAGCATAGTCTTAACAAGATTAACAGCATAGTAAACTGTATATAATTGTACAAGTCTGGTTGTATTCCCATAGCTACTCTATAATATTTGTTTTTTCTGAAGTTTTATTTCATTTAGAAAAGAGAGCAGAGTTTGTTGGCATGAGTTTAAATTTTTTATTTCTGTCATAGTGAAACTCGGAATGTAATCTGCTGTTGTCCATCGCATGTCGTTTGCGTTAAGTTCTAGTGTACCTTGGATCCAGCACTAACTCCAGGCTAAAAAATCAATAGCTATTTTATACAGTATAACATGTGCATCAGCAGCTTTGTATGCAGTTTTCTAGTTAGTGTCTGTTGCCAGTTCAATTTTAAAACTTACCTCGGGCTCACCTTGCTCTCGCTGGGGAGATCTCCTTGTGTAACGCTCGTCGTTACGGATGCTCAGCGAAGCTTGCATTAATAAATAGTAAATCTTATGGAATCATAACCGATTTAACAGAATTGTGTAATCCGCCATAACACTTTGTTTGTATATCTCCCGTGCTACGGGCGTACGCTGCGGTGTCGTTTAGTTTTGTTTAGAGTCGACATTCCCACGAGTCGCCTGTATGCGCGGGCACGTATAATAACGATGTCGCGAGCGCTGAACATACCCGAGTATAAAAGATTTTCAAGCTCCGATGTATTTACACTGCGGTGCGTATTTATTTTTTGCACTGCGAAATTGTTGAAATGAAATTTACCGTTCTCAATTTTGCACCATAAAACCGGACCGAGTCACGACGTTCGCTGCGGGTTAACTAATTGAACCCCGCGGGATTTCAAGTGGGTTGTTTTGTTTCAGATTTAATGACTACTAGTTAACTCTTAATTGCTTGATCGCCACTGAAGCTTTTCTAGTTAAACACCAATATCAATCGTATTTGATAATTATATTACTTGTGTTTAAGACGATTCCGCTTCGAAGGTGGCTTTCTAAAATTTGGTATATAACTTTTACGTTTACCTTTACTTTCATCTTTACGTTTACCTTTTCCTTTACCTTCACTTTCACCTTTACATTTTGTTGGAGAAGAAGAAGAAGAAGGAGAAAGAGAAGAAGAAAAAAAACGAGAAGAAGAAGAAAAACAACGTGAAGGAAAAGAAGAAAAACAAAGTGAAGGAAAAGAAGAAGAACAGGAAGGAGAAGAAGAGGAAGAAAAAAAACGAGAGAGAGAAGGGGAAAACGAGGAAGAAGAAGATGAAGAAGATGATGAAGTTAAAGATGAAGCTGAAGATGAAGAAGATGAAGATGAAGATCAAGAAGAAGATGATGAAGATGAAGATTTTTTTCTCATAGCCACCGTTTTAAAGATAAATATATTACTTTGAAAAGAAAGTTCAAACGCCACTTACGAGGTAGTGTGTTTAGCGCGTTTTTACGTGGTTTTCCCAGTAGGCCTATTTAACGGGTCTATTGTAATTTTGCTTGTTTCAGAACTATTGCAGAGTTTTCCTGATTCTCCTTCTTACTCTTTACTTTGTCTTTCATCTTTATCTGGTCCTTCATCTTCACCTGGTCCTTTAATTTTACCTGTTTCTTCATCTTTGCCTGTCCTTTACCTTCACCTGATACTTTACCTTTACCTTTACCTGGTCCTTCACCTTTACCTTGCTCTTCATATAAGAGTTTTATTTCTAATTTGAATATTAACCTCTTACACGGGTTACCTACCGGCGTACATCTTGTAAACGTAAAATTATACAGTAAAAATTCAAAACAATGTAAAGAATCGCAAAGAAATTAGTTTTATATAAATTTGTGAAGATTGAAAAACACATAAATACAAAAAAAAATTTTTTTTTATTTTCTGCAGTATGGTAAAGTTGAAAGCAATTATCAAAATGCAAAATAGGTTGATTTCTATGTTATAGTTACTTAACATAGTAAAAGTTTTGTTACGAATGAAAAAGTAGAATATTTTTATATGTCACGATTTCTTATATGATGATTTTGATTTACGAATTTCCATGGGTATGTCCTTTTGATTTACATTTACTGTTCTTTTACAAATTTCTCTGTTAAAAAAAATCTAGTTTAATACCTATGATTAGTACTGTTATTCTTGATGAAAATCCACTACAAAAAGCATGTTGAGAAACTATAAATTTTAATGCATAAAACTATCTATTACTGCTTATATTTCCCAACTTGCGGGTCAATCAAATTTATCATAATTCGATTGAAATTCGCGCAGCAGGAATTATGAATTATTCATTTGAAAAGATCGACATTTTGGCATTCTATTGTTTCCCGCTAAAACATTAATGGATGCAGCGCGTGCAACTAATAAAAAAATGTTGCTGCAGTCGCATATATCGACATGTGAAACAAAAGTGCGTTAAATATTAATATTACAATAACAGATTAATTCGAAAAATGATTTCGTTTATTGACGCCATGAATATTACAATACTTTCAAAATATTTTTCGTCAGTCATTCAGCATGTACTGTAAAAATACATGATTTATTATTATTTATCGAAAATAGGGAACCGATAGCATTTGATGAAAGAATTGAACGCGGTCATGCAGATTTAGTGGTAATTGACTGTATCGATACAAAAAAAAATCTATCTAGCATACGTGTATATATACTGTCCTACATGGATAGCGGTATTTTACTATAAAAACTCGAGTCGCAATCAAACAATTAAAAGTTAACTAGTGGCCATTAAATCTGAAACAGAACAACACACCTGAAGTCCCATGGGGTTCAATTAGTTAACCGGACACGATCGTCGTGACTCGGGCCCGGTTGCAACATGCAGTGAAATTGAGAACAATAAATTTCATTGCAATAATTTCTCCGAACAAAAAATACATGTAGATACATCGTAGTCTGAAAATGGTTAACCCTTTGCACTCAGCTGTCCTCTCTGAGTGGACAACGTAAATGTAGCATTCGGTTGTTGCCGCGGAGAGGATATGATGTTTGTTGAAATTGAAATGATGCCACTAAAATTAAGTTTAAGAAACACACGTTATCCTGTGGAGACTTCTCTTACAATGGTACAAAAAACTAACAGAAATATGATAACAACCAAATCTACCTGTGTACTCCTAGTAGATACACCGTTGGATGTATCTACTAAGTTCTAACCTAATTATTACTTTTGTATAAACAGATCGCAGATTAAAGTTAAATAAGAGAAAGATTTTACTGTGGGCACATGAATTCCATTGCCTAAGTTTCTAAACAAGATTTCTAAAGAACATGGATACCATATGTCTAGTGATAGGTATCATACTAGTATTTCTTTAACAGAAAAAAATGTAAAAGTACAAATAAAAGATTTTTCTTGTATTTATGTTTTTAGTTTTTCAATGTTCACAAATTCATATAAAACTAATTTCTTTGCGATTCCTAACTTTGTTATGAAATTTTACTACGTCTACAAGATGTACACCGGTAGTTCTCTCAAAAATTGAACTACCGTTTTTGGCACTTTTTGCCCCATATCTTCAAAACGGCTACACCTGCCTTCGCCAAAAACTAATCAGCACGTCTCCCAATCAATACGGATCGAATGTTTTTTGAATTATTCAAATTGCTTCATCCGTGTTTCCGAAATCGTCGACGAAAATTTGTATACACACATACATCCATTTTTCTGAGGTATGCCAAAATATTCAGAAACCTCTGAAATGTAAAGATATATATAAAAATTCATTTTAGATTTTTTGCGATTACTATAACTTACCCTACGGGAAGTTAAGAATTTAGTTTGAATTTCTCAATAGAAACTTAACACGTTTAAAATTGCATGAATATTCAAATACGATTTAATGAAAATGCCGATTAAATATTCTCGATATTCTCTTATGTATTTTTCAGATGAAATCACATTACTTCGAGTTGAATACAAATATATATAAGCACAATGAATTTTACACAGAAGCAACCGAATACAAATGCCAGTTTTAAAAATGTATTTTCTCATTCTCTTTAATACACTTTCATGGCAACGAGAAAATCTCAGTAGCTTTCTGATGTAATATCATTTCAAAATGCTTCCAGCTTCCCACACCGCTAATGGCACATTTAAGAAGGATTGTGTCACAGATGTAATTACCGAGAAGTGCATATTACGTAAAATTTACTTTTGATGACTTTTATGAAAATAATTGTTGAAAACTTGGAAACGACATGATTTTGCGGTATAGGTTCCGATTGTAAGCTATATATTTTTTTTATTATTCATTCAATATTATATAACAATCAGAGATATCGACAGAATTCAGTAAGTTGATGACTAAATCACGCATAAACTAGTGGTGCATTGGACTTACCAAAAAATATAAATCAATATTATTAAAAAAGCGTTAAAATTTTCTGAAAATTTGAAAAAAAAAAAATAGATTTTTGAAAATTTACAATTTTTTTTAAATAATCGACTTTAAGAAAAATTTTAAATTAATTGTACGGCGTAGCTGTTTTAGAGACAAAATATCAAAGCGTGTAAGCGCCGCGTCGCAGAGGCTTACGGTTATACATTTTAAGTCTTGGTACAGAGCCCATAGAAATGTAAACAAAATTTGTTTAGTTTGTACCATTTTCTGCGCATTTTCTCCGTATCTTTAAAATAGCTGGACCTGTCTCGGCCAAAACTAATCAGCACGTCAATATGAACTAATTGATCTTTAAATCATTCAAATCGGTTGATCCGTATTCTAGAATTTGTAGACAATAAATTGTACCTGCACACTCATACAAACACACACGTTCACACACATGAACATACACATACATATATTTTTTTCCAAGGTATGCCAACATGTTCAGAAGACTTCGACGCGTAAAGATATATAAAAAATCGATTTTATGCGATAATCAAAATAATCAAAGGTTCAAATATTTAATAATTGAATAAATAAAAAACATAAATAAAAATAAATAACAAATAAAAAATAAAAAAAAATAAAAACAAACAATGATAGTAATTGCTCCCATAAGCAAATGAGACTATGGACTACAATTTTTTTACATTAAGGGTTTTTTTTAATCTAAAGGCATGATTTTCTACAAATAATGTTTTTACTATATTTTATAACAAACTATTAAATAATGTTTTGAATATGAATAATAAATAAAAATTAGAATAAGTATTGTAATAAAATTGGACGCGGAAAATACATAAGACATTCATGTAATATGTAGAAAATATGTTCGAAAAGTTTGATTATTGTTTATAACTTTTATATTATTAATTTTTTTTTGCGCGTTATGTTAACAATTTTTAACTTCCCGTAGGATAAGTTATTGTTATCGTCCAAAAATCGAAAATGAAAATTTTTGCATTTCTCGACGTTTTGAATGTTTATGAAACACATTCGATTCCTATTTATAGGGAGATGTGCTGATTAGTTTTTCGCAAAGGTAGGCCCAGCCGTTTCGGAGATATGGAGCAAAGAATGCAGAAAATAGAAATCGAGTTTTTGAGAGATCGGGGCATCGGATTTGAATGATCCAAAAAACATTCAATGCGTAATGACGGGGAGAAGTAGTGATTAGTTTTTGCCAAGTAATTGCTTTCAAAAAAATTTTTTTGTATATCGAAATTAATTCAGATTTTAATTGTAATTCTGATTTAAGTTCTTACTCTAAACAAATATTTTCAACTTTGCAATTCAGTTTATATAATTCTTATAAATATTAGACAATGTTACAGTATTTATTTATAATATATTTGAAAACATTTAATATTCCTCGAACATTTCGTTACGGTACGGGAAGTTCCAGCAATTTGCCTTAAGGCACGATGCCATGTGCCTCATTAGTTTTATATATATATATATAACTGATTAAACTAATTACTTATGTTCTTATAGTTTTTAGTATGATCTAAATATCTAATTAGCATATAGGTATATACAAAACTCCCCGTAAACCGAGTGTTAAATATTCAATGATAATATTAGGTTGTCAAATATCTCCCTTCCGCTTTTTTGCTCTTGGTTTATAATACAAAAAGGCGGAAGGGAGATATTTGACAACCTTATATTACAAAGGTGTTCTAGATGACGCAACATTATAGATTGTCATTGAAAATGCATATTTGTCCTTGAAGAATGGCGCTTTCTGATTGGTCGGCCAAAGTGCAAGTACTTGAAGGTAGGAAGTACTTGTCAAAATTTCGTCAGTCAAGGTCCTACCGTCGGCATGGGACTATGCAAATCGTTTACCGAATTATTATATTCACGTTTATTGTATCCAGTTATAATATCCAGTTTATTAAATGATAAAACAAAGTATTTTGTGCAGTTTAGTGTTCAAATCAAATATAAGTGGTTGTTATTAGACTGAACTAATATATGTGTGTTAAATTCG